CTGAGATTCTTAGAACCCGAAATTCAAAAACTCTAAGATTTGAAGGTTCTCGAATTCTAAAATCTGAGATTCCAAGAATCCCAGATTCTGAGATTCTGAGATTCTGAGATTTGGAGATTCCAAGATTCTTTTATTCTGAAGTTTCACTGTCCTCTTCTGGACGATCCTAGATTCTCAGGTTCTAAAATTTATTTTACACGCATTTCAACTTTTCAACAGATTTTCGTTTCTACAGTAACCACAGAGCTTTCTCCCAATCCTTTGAACTCGTCACAATAAAAACTCACTCGTCGTCTACAGAGACAACCATCTCTCCCTGAATTCTAAATAATGAAATTGAGAATCTTCGAGAACTTCTATCCATGAGCCTCTACTACTACACCCAAAAGACATTCGGGGGTCCTCGGAATGAATGAAAAAAAAGAAAAGGAGAAGTACCGGAGAGAGAGAGAGAGAGAGCATCACGAGGAAGAGAGAGACCCTCCCCCCGAAAAACTTTTTTTGCTCTCGTCCTCGTCGTTTTTCGAGTAGTTTCACTCCCTTTTCACTGCCCTCCTAGACCCCTTTCTCTCATCGTATTTTTCCTATCCCCATCCGTTTTTCTTCTTCTTCTTCTTCTTCTTCTTCTTCTTCTTCTTCTTCTTCTCTTCAAGACTCATCTCATAACAGATACCCCGTCGGCTACTACGACTACTACTAGAAATCCATTTTTTCCCTTTTTTAGCAAAACAAAATCGTACTAGGATATTGTCATTTGCGCGCTTTTGCAACATACTTTATTTCGAAAAAAAATCTGAATTTTGAAAATTCCTTCTTGCACTTTTCGAACTAGTAGACTTCAATTTAAGAGGCCACGCCCCTTTTTCTCTTCAGAGCGAATTTCCTACCGACCTCCCACATATGTTTGCTGTGTCATTTTGCATGTATTTGCACTATTTGTCGTCTGTTTCCTTGAGAAAAGTGAATGAGTCACTGCGATTCTATCGGAAAACTGTGTGTTCCGCGATTCTATCTTCGCTTCACCCATTTTTGCATCGAATTTAGCTAAATTCGATGCAAAACAGTAAAAAGGGTTGTAATTTAGACTTTTCAAATTGAAAAAAAAATTTGCCCAACTTTGGAATCGAACCCCCGATGCGATTTTCGAAGCCAAAATTGTAATCATCTGCGCTTCTGTCTCACTGTGAAAAAATAGAGTGTTTTTCTATTAAAAACCACGCGTGCTTGCAGAGTATGCAAGCGCGCTCTATTGTACTATGCAAATTCAAAAAAAAATCATTTTTTGGAATTTTTCAGCGGTTTTCAGTATTTTTTTGCCGATTTTTCTTGATTTTCCTCCTGATTTTTCTCCGTTTCACATGATTTATATTTTCCTTCCAGTCTCTGCGTCTCTCTTTTCTCTTCTCTCTCTCATTCTTCTTCACACCTTTCTCCGCAAAAAAAAATCATGGAAAATTTGATATTTCCCTCTATCTTTTTTCGCAATTTTCCCCCGATTGTTTGAACAGTTTTTGTCATTAAAAATCGCCTTGTTTTTCGCACCGCGCCAATTTTTGAAAAAAAAAATTTAGCTTATAGAAAATGCATTTTTTTTCAGGTCTAGCCGACTACATAGATTTTGTTGCCACTGCATTTCGAATGTGTGAAACATTGAAAAAAAGGCATTGAGTACTTTTTTTTGGATTTTTTCTCGTTCGTTTCGACAAGTTTTTTGGAGCAAAAGAGCAATAAATTGCACTTTTTGGAGCAATAAAAATGGGGTGAGTTTTTGGTTTTTTTTTTGAAAAAATGAATTGTTTTGGGTAGATCAGAAAAATGGGACCGATAGAGCGAGCTTAGAAAAAAAATTCAAAAAACGTTTTTTTTAAAATAAATTTTTTAAGAAAAATGGTTCATGTCCAATTGAGCGCACTTGCGTTGTGACGTTAAACTTTAATCTCCTTAAAAACCCCCTGAAAAAAATCTATGACGAATCCAGGAACCTCGATTTATTGACTTTGAAGATTCGGGGCCGCTATTTGCACAAATACCTAGTGGCTGGACAACTGGCCAATCGCCAGAGGGGTAGGATAGAAAAAAAGAGAACAAATTGTTTGAAGGCGCAGAGGGGGGGGGGGGGGGAGGAAGAACTCGTGTGCCAATTGCACGCCACTTATCATTGTGTCCGGTCCTCGGGAAGAGACCTCCGGGAATAATGGGAAACAGGAGAGAGAGGGAATTTTGAAAATTTTTGAAAAAACAGGGGACAGTAGGAATCTTGAAATTCGATTTGAAATTTGGCAGACGCGCTCTATCGAAATCACTATTTTTTATGTTTTTTTAAAGGTGGTGTACGGTGAAATTTTTTATTGCATCAAAATGTGCAGAAATGCATGTAGATTGACATAAAAATGAAGAAAAAATTCAAAAAAATTCCTCCATCGAAAAATACGCTGAAAGCCCTTAGGGACGAGGTTTTTTTTCTAGGCCGTCCGGTGAGTAAAAGCGCGCGAATTCAAACTTTTAAAATTTTTTCGCTCGTTTTTCACTGTTTTTTTCGGTTTTTTCAAACGTTTTCTAGGTTTTTGTCAATTTTTCTTCCAGATACGCCGGG